TGGGGAATTCTGGGAGTTGAAGTCCACACATCTTCAAGCAAGGCTGGCTGGGGAATTCTGGGAGTTGAAGTCCACACATCTTCAAGCAAGGCTGGCTGGGGAATTCTGGGAGTTGAAGTCCACACATCTGAAAGCTGCCAAAGTTGAGAAACACTGCTCTATCTCATTCTGTGTGTGTGCGTGTGTGTGTGTGCGTGTGCGTGCGTGCATGCATGCATATATGAAGTGAAGGAATCTAATGTGATATTAACCTTGTTTTTTAAAAACCTATGAAACCTTTCCTGTCCAAAAAACAAAATCATCTATATCGTTATCCCTTTTATTCTGACAACAACACACTGAGGTGGGTTAGGTTCCATGTTCCTGGTAGGAAAAGATAAGATAATGGAAATGTCCACAAGATGAAAGTCCTTTGTACACCATTCTGCTTAGACATGGAAATTCTCAGCATGAGAATGTCTTTCCAGACCCCTAGGTCCTAGGGCTGTCTCAGAATCTCTCTCTCAGTTTCTCAGGTGTTTCCTTCCCCTTTCAAAAAGGCCTCCATTTTTCTACCTTATTGTGGGAGGAGGTAGAGAGAGTTTCTGCTGGTGTTGTCATTTCCTGTTGAGCATCTTTCCTTCCTGGCTGTCCACACTTCCCAATCTGAAAAAGAGCCATAGGAGGAATTTTCACCCACTGTCTTTCTGTGGGATTGAACCAAAGGATGGGAAGCCAGGGAGGCTGTAGACCACTGGAGAAAGGATTCTGCAATGAAAGCAGGACACACAATTTTTGGCCACCTTCTAACTAAGTGTAAGAATATGACCTTCCCCCATTAAATATATCCAAATCTTTCTTCATTTTTGAAAGATCTCTGAAAAGCAAATTAAATGAGAACTGGTAAACCAAAATGCAACAGGATATTTCTAAATGGGATTAACACATTGATGTCTACTACATTATGTTGATTTACACAGGCAACAGCAGTACCAATTGCTATCAAAGTGAAGGGTACAAAACTATTCTTTCAAACAGCATCAATTGGAAAAACTTAAGTTTTTCCCAGATATGTTGGATTTCAAGGATTCTTGGGAACCCTCGAAGTTGGAATCCAATCTACCTGGGATATCCTGCATTGAGGACAGCTGCTCCACTGGGAGAGCAGAACGAAGTCTACTTTCTAGTAAATATGTTTAAGACTGCAGTCTTATACTCTTTCGGTATAGATCTGGGGGAAAAAGTCCTTTGAAAATATCACCTGATTTTGTATGTTCACTCATTCCATTTCAACATGCAACACAAAATCACAGATCATGTTCTCTGTTGTTTACATGCTCAGGATCTCCCCAAGGTTGTGAAGAAATTAAGTGCCTTCCTAGGGCTCAACCCCAGTGAGAGCAAGATCTATGAAATCTGCAAAAAGGCTTCATTCAGCGAGATGAAAACTAACACAGAAAAGGAAAATTCTGATCAAAACCGTACTGTCTGTGTACTCACTTCCAACCGGAAGCTGATATTCCGAAAAGGTAACTTGAAGAGTGAGCCTAATGGAACATTTCCATTGAGGGCTGGTCTAAATCATTTAGAAGGTATGTGTCAACCCAATAAGGTAGACCAGACTAAGAAACCAATGCCATATAGGTCAGGACTACTTTTATTGTAACAGCTACAGAAGCAGAATCTTGCCAGTCAGAATGTGCTTCCCCCCTCCCTCCCTTTATCTTTGCATGAACTAGGGTGGGGCTTCTCTGATTCATTGCCTCAAATGAGTTTCTTGGCCCAGATTCAAGCCCCTCTTATCTGACCATTGTCTTGGTAGCGGCTCTTCCTCCTGTCCTTCAAAGCCATTCCCTGTTCCACTGTAGCACATGGTATAGTTTTTCCATGACTGTGCTGCCTTGGAGATAAACTAGACATTGACCACTGCAGATGAACATGTTTCACAGTTGAGTCTCTTTAGTGACCATGATACCAGAGGCTTGTAGCTTTTCAAAAGACACTTGCTTCTCTATAGACACATAACAGTGGTGAAGTAGGAGCTATTAGAAAGGCCCTGTGTTTTTGGCACAAATAATATTACAGTTGCCCTATCCCTGGGAAATTGAACCCGTAAAGGCTTCCTCTTCCCTTGTTTCTTTGCCCATTCTCCGGTCAAGTTCACAAATGAGTTTTAAGGCAAAAAATGAATGCTTTCATTAATTGCACAAAGGCCAAAGGAAACTCTAGATTTCTTGATATCCTTAGCGTCTGTAAGTATCACACACATTCCCCTAGAAGTGACTCCTTATTTATTTATTTATTGCTGAAAATAGAAAAACAAAAAAGGGGAAAAGGTGAAGGAGAACTATGCCAAAGTACAAAGCAATAAGTATTTTTGAAAAACAAACAACTATCAAACAAAAATAAGTAGAAAAGAAAGGCCCAGGGAAAGGGATTGTTCACTGTATATGGAAATTGTGATTGCTTGGAAGTTGTGGTCAGGGTGGTGCAGATCTTTGAAGGAGTGCTGGCTTTGACCAAGGCTCAAGTAAAGCACCTCTTGAAGCTGCAATACCAAGAGATGCAGTTTCCTTGATTCTAAGAGTAAAACTTTCTGTGATGCGATCATCTTCACTGACGCTTGTAATAGCTGGAATGCACTATGTGTGCTATGTAGCCTCTTCTAACACTTCCTTCTGCTTAGCCACCAGATGTCTCACCTCAAGGTATCTCATCCAGGTGAATAACACTGCCCACTCCCCTGCTCAGACTTGGCTATCATTGCCCAGAAGACTTGCTTAAGGAAACTCTAGATGGAAAATAGACTAGAAGGGTGGTTTGGAGCCCATATAGTGAGTTTCATGAATGAAGCAGCTGTTCTACTGCTACAACATATCCCTGGTGTAGATCTGCCCTTCTTTATCTCCTAAACTTCTATAGTGCCATTTCTGCTTATAAACACATCTGCAATTCTCTATCACTCCATCACTTTAACTCTCTAATTGGTAGAATATTGTTCTCGGGACATATTTTTTCATTTATTTCCAGGTACTAAGTTCTCCCAGGTTAGGTCACAGCCAAGGTATTTATTTGCCTTTTCTGATCTCTGTTTCTGTGCTTTCCCCTCCTCCCAGCTGCCAACAAAACTCCCTAGGACATCTAATATTGCAGGACAAAGTTGCTGGGCTTATCTGGAACTAATCAGAGTCCAGATACATTTCTCTGCACAAAGCTGTAGTTACATGGATTGTCTGATTTGTTGTTTTCAAGTGATGAGAACCAGGCGAGGTGCCAGTGCATCAGAAAAAGGTGAAAGGGTTGCTGTCACCTGAATGGGTGGAAAATTCCAAGTTCAGTCCTAACCTTCCATGGGAAGGTTCTCAAGAAGAACTGGGCTGGAATGGCTCCAAGTTGATCAATGACTGGGTGTCCTCTGCAAATCTATAAATGTGATTTGGAATCACCTGAAAGCAATCCTCCAAACCCAACTTTAGGGTTAGGTTCAAACAGTGCACCTAACTTGGTAACTGAAATAACCCATGTTCTGCATTTGCATGATAGATTGGACCATAATTAACCAAATTTGCATAACATGCTAAGACAAAAAATAATACTAACCAAAGTTAAGACTAACCAAGCTTAGAGTGTTGTGTCATTGGAGAAACCTAGCCTCTGTGTTTCAGTAGAAAGGTGAAAGGGGTTAAGGTCCTGATCACACAGAGAAAAGTTCCACTGTCAGACAAATGGCACATTTGTACAAGCGTACCTCCAGTTTAAAAAAAAATCCCCCATCACATCTTTTGCTGAGCAGTGCTCAACTCATAATCCCACCCTCTGAATATCACCTGCTTTCCAAACATCCACATAGAGCTACAATTGCCTGCAGATTTTAGAATTCACAACAATGAGAAAATGAATGAACTTGCTCCTCCAATTGCTGATCTTGCATGTTAATCTGCTGAGAAATCCCTCTGCTTGGTGGGAAACTATGCATTTCATTGATTTAAAGCATAGATACTCCTCCTACACACCAGAGTCCTAGGCAGCTTAATAGGCAGTTAAAAATAAACTGATAGAAACGTCACTCTAAATTTATTTGATTCATTTTATCAAATTTATAGAGCTGCCCAACTCAATCGATTCTGGGCTGCTTACAATAAAAGCAACCCATAAAAAATCCTCAGTGAAATGGTGTGACCTGATAAGACCAAGAGAAACAAACATTTAAACAAAAACCCATGAGGTTGACAATACAACACAACCAAAGAAACTCAGTTCTCATATCAGGGCCTAGGGAAAGATCCAGGTCTTCCATGCTCAGAACAGCGGGGCTATGTAAGCCTCTGTGGGAAGCCCATTCAGAGGGCAAGCACCACCATAAACAGGGCCCGTTTTGTAGGACCCATTAGATGACATTGTTTCAAGAATGGGACCCAAGCATTGTCTATTCTACCAAATCTGCAGACATCCTTATCCTGAGACAAGGCTCGTAAGTGCAAATTCCAGTGGAAATAAGAATGTCTTGAGAAGCCACTCAGAAGTGACCAGCATGGACTCAGTCATAGTTCCCCAGGAAGAGAGTTTCCCTCTTGGAGTACATCAACTGGAATGGCCCCACTCCAAATTATTACTCTCCCATGTTAAACCACATCCTGTGGGTATCTTGAGTGAATTGTGGATGATATTAGACTCTTCACTTTTATGAAGAGTAAGATACTAAGAGCTATTGAGGTTTCCCATTATGGGGGACCAATCATTTGATCCTTCATCCATCTATCTGGAACATAGTAATGAAGATGGAACACAACATTTTAAAAATTTATTATTAGTATGCTATTTTTGATCATGAAATCAGAAAACTGCGACACCATCAGGAAAAAAAGAAGAAGATAAATAATGGCTATTTTTGAAAAACCTAGATATATGTCACTAAATGTGACAAAAAAGAGGAAAAAAGACTAATTAAAAAAATCCACATAATATCCATTGTTATTGATGTAAATCCTTAAATCCTTAAGCTTATTAAATCTAGACCTTACAGGGACACATTGCTTCACTATTTAATTTTTTAAAATAACTTTATTAAATGTTTAAAAAAAGAACAGTAAAAACTAACAAGAACTAATCTTAAGAAAAAGAATGAGAGGAAGAAAAGAGAAATTAGGAAAAAAACGATAATAAAGATCAAGAGTGCCCAAAAAAAGAGATTAAAAAAAATTGACTTCCGATCCTCCTTGCAACAGATATAAGTAACAATATAAATCAAACTCTTGCTCTAAATAAACAAAATTATGTCCATTATTTCTATTAACCCATATTATTTCTAATCATCAAATCCATACAACATAATTTCATTTTTTTCTATTTCCGGCAAAAAGTCCAAAAAAGGTTTCCAATTAGCATTAAAATTACACAATGTCTTATCTCGAATCAAAGCCGTCAATTTCGCCATCTCAGCGAACTCCATAAGCTCCACCATCCATTCTTCCATTGTAGGTAGTATCGTATCTTGCCACCTCTGTGCATATAAAAGCCTTGCTGCTCCTATCATATATAAGAACAAAGTTCCATATCTTTTTTCCAACTGTTTATCCATCAAGCCCAAAAGGAAAGTCTCTGGTTTTGATTGAATATTAATTGTTAAAATCTTCTGTATGAAAATATGTATCTCATTCCAAAATTGTTTTGCTTTGTTACAAGTCCACTAGAGATGATAAAATTTCCCTTCTTGTTCACGTCTCCAACATACATTAGAAGTACTTTTATAGATTTCAGATAATTTTTCTGGCAGCAAGTACCAACGATATATCATTTTATAAAAGTTCTCTTTAAGGTTACGACACAATGTGAATTTCAGTTCTTTCTGCTGCATATTTTCCCATTGTTCCATCTGTATATAATAGCCAAAGTTTTTAGCCCATTTTATCATACAGTCCTTAACTTGTTCATCTTCTGTCTCTGGTTTCAATAAAAGTTTATACAACTTTGCAATAACATGTTCATCATGAGTGCATAATTCTGCTTCAGATTCAGTCTTACTACATTTAAAACCATAAGTCCTTTTATCTATTTTAAATCTTTCTTGTAATTGTACATAGAAAAACCATTGACACGTGTATCCTTCTGATACCTTCCTCTCTTCTCTTCAATTTAAAGCCCCTTTGAGAAAATTCCAATACATCACCATAAGTTAACTTTCTTATTTCTTGAACACAAAGACTTTTCAAAAGTAGGTAATAGATTGATATTCCGAATCCCTCGCTTAGTATTAGAACATGGTTTCTCTCTATGCAAAATTATCCTCTTTGCTGTACAAAACCATTCATACCCACTGTCTTTCCATGGTTCCAAACTGTTCCCATTTTTTACACTTTCTATTGAGAGACACACATGGTGTTCTTTTTATGTGAACAACTTGGGAAAACCTACAGTTCCTCATTTCTCACGATTTCCTAGGTACTGTTGGTGACTGGAAGAATCACTTCACTCCCAAACAGAACCGGCTGTTTGAAGAGACATTTAAGAAGAAAATGACATTCAGCGAAGTGGCAAAACATCTTGTATATGAATGTTGATTTGGAAATGAATCATAAACAGCTGGATCAGAATATATTTAAAAGACTAATATTTTTTCAAATGGAAACTAGTTTTCTTCCAAAGAGGAAGATGAGGAAGACACATGAGGGACTGGGGGAAAAATGCTGCTGTTCAGGATCCAGTCTGTTCTCCTCACTTCCATTTTCCATCTCATCTCTTACAACAATCAATTCGATGTACCATAACCGATACGCAGGTTCAGTTTTCACTGATAATTATCTATGTCTTTAAGTTTGTTTTGTTTTGGTTCTGTAAGCCTTGAGTTCCCACAAGCTTCTTGACACCTTCCCAGTTATGGGTAGATGGTGCTGTTCCAGCCGCATCAAGGAACCACAACCATAGTCTGTAGGCTGGGAATTTATAATGATGGGGTATTGAGAATCTGTGTGAGGAAAGTTCAGGACTCCTTTTTTGTTTTGGTTTTCTCATGAGAAAGATCAGTAATAGAGACAAGCTTGTTTTTCCCTCATGCAGAAACTTTACCCTGAGATTTGTGGGGCATTGTAGAAATAGTTCACTGAATCATAAAATTGAAAGGGCCCACAAGGATTTTTAGTCCAAGCCTCTGCAATGTGCAGGAAAATCAATTAAATCAATGCTTCCCAACCTCAGCAACTTTAAGATGTGTGGACTTCAATTCCCAGAATTCCCCAGCCAGCATACTGGGTATTGAAATCCACACATCTTAAAGTTGCCGAGGTTGGGAATCACTGAATCAAATCCCCTTTGAGAGATTGCTATCCAGCATCCTCTTAAAAAAACATCTAGAGATTGAGAGTCACCAATTCTATAGGTACACTGTTCTACTGCTGTACAGCTCTTATCATCGTTTTAGTATGAAATTTAAAAATCCACTTGTTCATTGTACACAAAATCAAATTTGTTTTTGTGATGAGTAGAATGTACTCTTAGCCAGTAGCAAAAATCAAGACCAATGTGTTGCAAATGTTAACGTTTTTGGAATGGGGATCCTAATATTAGTGTTGCATGATAACCACCTGGTTTAGCATGAGCTTCGCATTCCCCTTTGAAGATACTTTGATTCAATGAAATTGAATTTTGGAAGAATTGGGACAGACCAAAGGATTTTTTTTTTTTACATCGCAGATAATTAAACTTTGGAATTTGCTATGATAAGATGTGGTGTTGGCTATCAGCTTGGCTGGTGCCAACAAAGGGTTGGACCAAATCATGGAAGTGGTGGGGATCAATGGCTATTAGTCCTGATGGCAGTTTATGTTCTTATGTTCTGATTAAAATATAGGCTACTGCATTGTACTTCCTAATTCCAATGACCAACTGAATTTAATTTATTTACTGCTCAGATATGTTTCTGGGGAACAACTGTAGAAGAGTCTTCACACACACTTTCTTTGCTTCCCATTGGCAGGTAGTTGCCCATTTAGGCACCTAAATATTGGACTAGATCAGTCTCCGGTCTGATCTGGCACAGCTGTTCTAATAGACTTCTGAAATCAATGAGCTAAAGTAGACATTATTTAATTTTCATCTATTTCAACCCCATACGCGGATGGAAGTCCTACTGAATAAAATTGCTTTGTAAGTATGCATAGATATGTGTCCTAAATTTAATTAACTTAGCAAGGAGCCGACATACTGAACTTACAGATTGCTAACTTGAAATATTTTTTTTAAAATGATGTACGATGTATATGATTTTGATGCTAAACATTTTACTACTGTTTTAAAATAAAAACATGTCATTTCTTATTAGTTATGAGAAAAGAGACTAAGAGTTCTTTCTAACAGTTATGAAGAATTTCTAGTCAAAAGGCACAATATAACTAACCCATCTTTTACTTTTTTTTTTCCAGTAAGAATTCAAATGGGAAATAGCAGGTGGATTTGTAGTTGTGCTAAGCCATATTGCTTAACCATGGTTTACCAATAAGCCAGGGTTAGAAACATACAGTACTAAACCAAAAATGGAGAAAATGTGGTCCTTCAAGCACTTTTTGTGCCCCCTGGAGATCAAACTGTATTGCTTTTTCAGGTGGGAAATACAGGAAAACAGTTGTTCAGTCTAACAAACACAATATAATTAACCTAATTAAGGGGAAAAAACCATCATCCCCCACCAAGACTGGAAAAATAACAAACAGGAATTCTGGCCCTGTCCTCGTGCTTCATATGGTCCTGTCTACTTTTTATCAGTGTCTCGTCCATTCTGGCTCTGAACTTCCCCAAAACATGACATCTTACCCCCAGGCAAAGGCTTCGCAAAGCATAGTGGTTGAGGTCAGGTGTGGAATGGAAGCCAACCAACCAACCAACCACATTAGACCTTAGTGTGTGGTATGAACCGGGTAGTTGTTGTTCTCCACAACATCCCATGAATGTGGTTAGAGCAATCGAGGGATTCATTCCAAGGTAGTAGGACGCTGCTGTGGAAGATCAGAATTACCGGGTCTCTCCCACCCACCCCCAACCATTGGGACAAAATCCTCTCCCAAAGATTTGACTGAAACAAGTTGGTCAACTCTTAAGCTCCCCAACAACAAGAACATCCCTACTAAAACCAGCAATACCGATAAGAACATGCTTGGACCGAGTTATAGAAAAAGATGTACCGGTCAAGAAACAGCACAGATTTAGCTAAGGATGTTGCTTACTTTAAAAAAAAAAGGTTTCAACAAGATAAATATCTTTGCTTAGACACATGGGAGGGTGATGCCTGAATTCTTTAGGCAAGCATTCCAAAACATGCAGGTAGGCACGGGGTTGGCGTGCCCAAGGATCTCTCCCTCCTCCTTCTTTTAAACCAGAAGAGAAAGAGGATATGTTATGCAGCTGTCCTTAGCTTGGAGGCATTCCTTAATCCAAGAAAAGGTTCGTTCCATGGCAGTTGAAGCTAAGCAAGGTTGGCCCTGGTTAGCAGTTGGATGGGGGACTGCTAGGGAATTCCAGGGCTGTTGGTAGACAGGAGCAAACAATATCAACATTGTTGCCAAGAAAGTGACATGGATGCAGGAGTAGAGCTTGACTTGCGGCCATCTCTACCTTTATTCCGTGAGAACAACACAATGTCACGTGCAGCTATCTGCTTGAAAGATCAGGAAGGATTGATTCACAGATTAGGTTGGTCTTCCCCACTTTCCTCCAGGATCTCAACACAGCACACGTTAACGTTTCTTCCTAACAAGTTTGAACTGTGAGATAATGTGTGTGGCTGCACCATAGTTACCTAGCAAGATGCCCTCTTGGTGTGTGGCCTTGAATCTGGGTTTCTCAAATCCTAGTTCAGCACTTGGCCTGTTACATTAACTGGCTCTCTGAAGTCCACTATACTTGAAATAAAACCATAGGATCCTCTCTCCGTCTTAAGAAGTAGCAATTAAAATAGAGTTATTTTAGGGATAATTCAGGGTAAACCATTGTGTGAAAGGCTTCCAAGACCTCTTAAATTTGATACCTCAAATTCAAATTCACCATAGAAGTTGTAATTCTAGTGACGTGTTTTGCATGAGACACCGGTTGGTGGAGCCTGGGATCGTAATAAAGAATGTTTGGCAAGCTGAAGACTTTCCTTCATTTTGCTGGGTGGCTTTCTGTGGGATGGGAGTCCAGCACAACCAAGTTCCAACTACCTGAAAATACTCCCTTGTTCAAAACGGTGAAACTGTTGGGCATCTCTGTTAGAGTAAGTCCACTCATAATATTTTTCAGATTCACCTCCCTGAAGCTTAATTAAATTTCAAGCAATGTTTCAGCTCCACTCCTCTAGCTCCAGAAGCAGATGTCTTCACCTCATTCCCAGCGTTCAAAAATATATCAAAAAGTCAAAGCCCAATTTTGGGGCCCACAGCTCTCACCTTAAATCCATTTTATGACATTACTGAGCAAAACAGATAGAAGCTAATGAAAAGGTTCTTGGGTTTATGGACTGAAACCAAAAAGCAAGCTGATTGTGGTTTTAAAAATCAATCCAAGCTTTCTGTTACATGAAAAGAATTCAGTCATAAGTCGCTTTATTTTGCTTTCATCCAGCTGTTGTGTGTGCACTTAGCTTGTATTCATGCTCTCCAAACATCAGTTTACAGTATGTGCTTATAAAGTGGATCCCATGATCTGCAGCCCCAAATCTTCAACAAGTGTCCCTCCAAGGATTGTACAGAGGTGAGATTATTTCTTACGTGGAACGGAATTATATTAACTTTAATTAATTTAAATGAAAATAATTTTCATGTTTGCACTGGGCCTGTGTCTTCCCATGGTTTGACTTTTTCATTATTTAGGCTGTGGCCTCTTGTAAACCATTTAAAGGTTAAGCGTGACTCTTCTCTTGCCCAAGGTGTGTGTTTTTCCATGAAGTTGTAAGATAACTGGATGTTTTGCTACTGGAAAAAATTGCAGATGTTTTTCTCACATTCATAGTGCTAAGAACCTCTGCAGACATGGTCGTTTTTAGCAGGTACCAACCGAATCGAGAAGCAGTGATTTGGCACTTGATTGCTCTTTTTCATCATTTGGGGAATGTGGAAATTAAAGCTAACTTTAAGTGATAGAGATGTACAAATCACCCAAGAGTCAGTGCAAATTGTCAACTAGATTTGCCAGTCAGATACACAGATTTGAATAGTTGCATTGATCTGACATAAAGCATTGAATTGAGTTGGTTCAATAAAGTGGGTGTGCAAATTGGAAAAGACTATCAAACTGAATCAATCTGAAGACACCAGGTTTAATTTCAGCAATAGGACTTTTCTATTTTCAAAGGGAAGACCAAATCTCACACAGCGCCCTGAAATGATTAGGCTCCCAGTGCTTCCAGTTGCCAACCATCAATCTGAGATGAGTATTTTGCTGATAAACTGAAGGTCAGGAATTATCTGGGCCTGCAAAAGGACAAAAGATGCAAATTGTACAAAATCTGGATGCTCAGCTGTTTCCCCATCAATTTTTAGCTACTGTTTACCACCATCTAGTGGTCAAATGTAATTGTAGGCCTATTGTTTTCCTGCCAAGTCTTGAGACGCAGATGGACGTGCATGAGTGAGATTGCTCTACACAAGAGGCAGAGCAATGCACTCCATTGTTTTTTACTTTGCTCACTATCTGTCCTGGTTGTAGCACATACTTTAGTTGTATTGGGGACCCTATTCCCCCCTCCAAAAAACCCTCACTATCGCAAGTGACCTCCCTGCACATTCTGCAACATTTACATTTGTAAATGAGACCTTGCAACAGAACGCTGTAGTGGAGACTGGTCCAATACAGGATTCAGATCAACTGGTCAATATTCCACTCCTCTTTCCATCAAGCGAATCAGCACTCTGGGACCACTCCACACACTTAGTCCTTAATGGGAGAAGTCAGTTTCAGATCATCTATTTCCCAGAAGGGTAAGAAAAGTCAACTTCATCCAGAATGAAGGACAAGGCATGTCTGAAACCCCCAAGCGTTTCCACTTTCTCCTGTCTCCGTTGCCCTTTCACTGTGGCATAATGATTTTCAGTTCTGGGTCAGAAAAATAACTTCTACCACAGGCCCGAGGAAGCTCATGAGTGTACTGTCCACCCTCAAAGCCATACATTTCTTTTGCGAGCAAGCCTTAGGGTCCATTCTCACAACACACGTAAAGTGGTTATTGAACTAACCTGTTTTCTGAGTTAACTAAACCAACAGATTGGATCTGCAGAACATGCTAAGCCAAAATAATGCAATGAACCGCCTGAAGTGTATTGTGTGAACGCAGCCTAGACACAATTGGCTCCTATCAAGGTGGACATTTCAATACCCAAGGATATCAGAAATAGGAAGCTGAGTCACAGAAAGAGATGGAAGCAGAACTTGTCACATGTGAAGATTCTACAACACAGAGCAAATTACTCATCACACAGCAACTGCTTTCCACAGGATCTCTTGTGGCATTTATTTCCATTTGGAAGAAGAGAAAACAGCATCAATACAGTTTTACTTGTTTTTAATTCCTGAATTTAAAAAAATAAAGCCTATTTGATTACACTTTATCTTCACTCATAAATAATAAACAAGACAAATCAGTAAGAGCATTTGAACAGAAGTCCTTCATTTATAGCTCCCAGAAATGCACTGAACCTGGGTGTCTGGCAGAAGAGGTATTTTATATCCTTATTTATAAGTCAACGCCAGTTTCTTGTCCATTTTTTCCCCCAACAAAATCATTTTCAGGTGATCTGAGAAGATTAAGCCCTGAGGGGGGAAAAAACCACCTTATTTCAAAGTTCTGTCTCACCCCTCTAATCCCTTTATTTTAAATATCAGCCATTCAAGTTCATACCAGGATCTTCCAACATCCAGCATGAATATATTATCACAAGTCTGACCTTTTTTTTTTTTCCCCCAGTGCAGAGATCACCAAGTCTCTTCTGGACAGATGATGAATTTTGGATATTAAAGCACATATAGACAATGGAAGATAAAAATAGGCTGAAAAAAAGTGGGATAGAGATACAAAATGGTTTGGCCAAAAGTAGACATTTCAAAAGATTGTTTCAAGGCAAAAGTATAGATTCTCACATCATACTAAGCCAACATGGATGGTTGGTTTTGCCTTAGTGTTGTAGGAACCTAGCCAACTGTGGCTTAATAAGCCATGTTTTACAGTAGGTCACAGAAAGGATGATCTTATGGAGAAATGAAGAGTAGGATGGTGAGATTTTACTTACATTATGAAGCATAATTACTGAAAGAGTAATCCAATTCACATAGCTCAACATAATTCATGCCTACTAAATAGGCCAATATTTACAATAGTATGTGATGTAGAATGTTATGTCAAGGTGGGCTTTTGAAAGCCCCCAGCAGCCCTCCTCCAAAGAGGGACCATTTTGCCCAGGGACTATGAACCCTTGTCCTGTCCTCAGCAGACATGCTTGCCTACATTTTTTTTTTTTAAAAAGATGACTTTGGCCAGATTTGGGCCAGAAGAGTACAGAGATATGCACACTTTTCTATGCATGAAAATTTTCCTTGGGTAGAACCACAAACATCTAGGGAGAATGTTTCTAGATTAAAGTCTTCCGCAACTTCCTTCACTGAAGGAAGGAGAAAGAGGCAGTCCATAAAGTATCTGCCAGGGATGATCATGGTTGGGTGGGGCGGGGTCAAAGCAAAAACTTCAACACAGGAGCTGTAGTTGTGGCTGCCACTTGGATGTTTTTGACCCTCTCCCTCGATGCCCCCTGTGCCTGCAGTTACATTTGTCACAAAGGCTAACAAGCACCGTGTGCAGATAACAGGAAAGGGTTACTTTAAAATGTGACTGAAAAACAGACTCATTTATTTATCCAAAATCTCAGTGGAGCGCTAGCCTCCTCTTCTGAGCTTTCAGAAAAAAATGCAAAGCCCCCAAGTCCACTGAAAATGAAACAGAAAGAAAGGAATCACAATCAATCTTCACCGCAGATTTTTAAAAAAAATAATCAAAAGCACAAGCATTATAGTCCTGGGATTTAAAAAACAAAACAAACACTCACCACCTGGAGATACTAACAGAGTATCTGATCTATAATGGGTTCAGAAAACCTGCTTTAGACCATCAATTTAGTCAGTAAATAATCTGCAGCCTAACAATGAAACGAATAAGCAATCGTAGACTAGATGATCCAATCATCTTAATTTCATATGCATAATGTGTTCATACAACAGAGTTAATGCTGGTCAGTTAATGAGCTAACAGGTGCATTCATACAACACACAAAGCTTAATTAGCTTTTATTTGGAGGTGCATCTTAGCATGTTGTGTGAATCCAGCCCATTTGGTTGGCTTAGGGTCCAATGTATAGTGACAACCCAAAAATAGGTTAATTCAGGAAGAACAGGGTCTGTTGTATGAACACAGCCATAGAATGAGTTCTTGTCTGAAGGCTACCTGAAAATGGAGGCTTGTAAAACAGAGGCATACTGTAATTCAGTGCAGATTAGATCCATCACATCTATATGTTCTGCATCTGCTTCCAGGAGGGCCTTCCAAATTGTTGATTGCTGGTGCGTAAGCTTCTATGGACAGCAATGGCCAACACTGCAAGAATATTTTCCACAAAACACAGCAAACACAAGGATCATTCTGCAGTGTTGTCTGATTGCTCCTCCTTAAATCTCCTTTCTTCAGAATGCACCACTTCTGTTACAAGTTTGGTATGAACATTAAAATGTTCTCTTGTGTCTTACTGGACCCCCTCACTGATTCTAAACTAGCAGGTAAAGGGAAAATACCTGATTGAAATCTCTCATTACACGTGCCTTTTTATTTCCTAAAGACATTCCTTGACTCTGCTGACCATATCAGCCAGCTGCCCTCAAGATAACAGAAGTGCACCAGAAGCAAAAATCAGATCTACAAAAACAGAATCAAAACAGATCACTGTCTCTGGTCTCAGAGAAGAATGTGCAACATCAGGAGGAGAACTGTTGGCAAGGAGCTCACAATGGGAAGGCTGAGTTCAGAAATGTAGCCAAGTAGAGTGTCTAGATTAGCAGCTGATGAGCTGGGTCATCCCATCCTGGCCCTCATCAACAGCTTTCCAAGGAATTCACAATCGGGAGTCTTACCATTACTGATGGACCATAAACCTTTAAAGATTTAGCACCTGCCCTTCTGCCAGAATCTGCCTGCCTTAAACTCAGGAAAGGAGATGATAGGACTCTGTCCAGTGTACATCGCTGGCCTGCCTCTGGAACTCATGCCTTTCCCCATTTTCCCCAATTATTAAATGGAACTTCATGCCACCAAAAAGTTCATACCCCCCTGATTGAACAGGTGACAGGATTTAACCTGTGCTACTCAGCTTAGAGTAGTGTTTCTCAATCTCAGCCACTTTAAGATATATGGACTTCAACTCCCAGAATTGGCTGACTGGGGAATTCTGGGAGTTGAAGTCCTTACATCTTAAAGTGGCTAAGATTGAGAAACACTGGCTTAGCGGATCCAATCTAGGGCAACAGCAGAAAGTAAAGCTTATTGTGGAGAAACACTTCTTGAACATACAATCAAGAATCTATATTCCTTCCTGACAGGAGACTTCAGTGCTTAGAGGACACCCGCTTGCAAAAAATTAAGTTCCATTTGATGTCCACCAGCGGTCATCAATTCCTTATATAATGGCGTGGCACTGTAGCCAGAGTCGTACAACTGCCTAAAACAAAGCACCCCCCCCCCAAGTGTTTTTCCTACTGCTTCTATTTTTGCAGAAGTTGTTTTTGACTAAAGGATCAGGCTGCGAAAAAAAGTCAGGGAATAGGGCTGTAAACTTTTTAGCATCCTAGGAAACGTGTCAGGAGATACTGTGTCCTTGGAATTGGTTGGTTTTTCCTGCCGCTGTGGGTCTGCATCAATTCGGTAACAATTTGTCTCCAGTGAAATCATAAAACATCCTGTCGGTGTCCTTTGGATTCTGGAAATGTCAAAAGCCAAGCAGGGAACAGATGAGAAAAGTCACCACAGCAGAATGAATGAATCAGAACTCCACGTCCCGGAGAGGGCTCCTGGAGGTGACTTCCTAGCTTGATCACCCCAGTTGTTTTCCAGCCGAATTCACCTTTTCCATTAAAAGGAAGATGTGCTCTGCAAATTCTCGAACTGCACCACGACCCCCATTACATTTACAAATGTAGCTTGCAGCTTTCTGTGCAGCCGGACAGCCGTCAGCAGGGACGGCACTCATGCTTGCTTGCTTCAGACATTCCACGTCCGAGTCTTCATTTCCTGCAGGGACAGTGGGAAGAAAAAAGCATCGTCAGTAGGCGATCCCAAGCTTTTTTACTGGTTAAACTTATTGGCGGTATTTCTGAGGTAGCTGAATAAAGGCAGAATTGCCAGCTAAGGCCCAGCCAGCCTCGAAGAGCCTTGGATGCAATCATCCCCGAGGCGTTCCAAAAGCTGCTGAAGTGTGATTTTGAATGTGACAAAGATTATTAAATATATATGGAACTGTTCTATTGTTTTTTTTACTTAATTTACAAGAAATCAGATTTGAAGTTAATTCCGGCTCCACCCACTTCTTTTTCCAGCTGCTTTCCAGAGCATACCCTGTACAGTCTGCAACCTCTGTCTTCCCACGCTTCCTTCCATTAAATCTGAAGAAAAGGCACCAAGCAGGCCCTGCTCCCATTGGGCTTATCAGACTGGGAAGAGAGGGGAGTCAGGGGAGCTTCAAAGAGATGGAGAGAGGCAGAACAGAAAACACCACCACCATTATTATTCTCTAGTACAGGTAGTCCTTGTTTAACGACCATTCATTTAGTGACTGTTCTAAGTTACTGTGATGGAATGGAATTATGAAGGCCAAACTCAGGGAGGAAAACATGCTCTTTCGTCTGAGGAGTGAGGGAGAGATAAGAGGATGAGGCTGGCACCTCCCTGAGGAATTCACACTGTTGTGACTGGCTGACTTTGGGAACTGGGATTGCAGTCTGGAAAGATTCTTGCTAGAGGTTGTAGCTAATAAACATTGCTGCACTGAATCTACATGGTCTCCTGGAGTTCTTTGGGCTAGGCCTGACATCAACCTTCCCAGACTGAATCCCAGTTCCCAAACAGCCAGTCACAACAGTGTGAATTCCTCAGGGAGGTGCCAGCCTCATCCTCTTATCTCTCCCTCGCTCCTCGGGAGACGAAA